ATGCAGTATGTTGGAAGGCGACTTGGTTAACAATACGACAGTTCAACCGCCTCGTTCAATATCTCTAACAATCAATCAGCGAATACATTAACTCGGCTTCTTCCGAACTTGTTGAAGGGAATATTCTCAACTAGCATTCTATGGCATTTATAGAGAGAGACGAAAACAATGCTGAAATTTTTGAAGAACTTCGTAGAGTTTGAACAAGAGGAAACGAATCGAATGCAGGAAGTGCTGGGAACCAGTCAGGATCTTGCGATCGCAGGTCGTTTAAAATAGCAATAAGTAGGTGATTTTTTAATATGCAGTTCTGGACATGTTTCGTCGATAATCAATCGCTGATCGGACACCTCTTCTATTCGTTCTGATTGCCTCCTTGGCATATTTTTTTCTTATTTCCCAAGGTTGGCCATTTGGGCATACTTTACAGTATGTTCAATGACATCTGGAGCTAAGCTGCTTCTACGTCAAATTTCCTTAATTGTAGAACAGTAGTTAACAGTTCCTTGCAACATGAACGTGGTTTATATTCGATCCTGTGCTCAATTCTCCGTGAGCTCGGCGAATTACCACAAAACTGTTTGAGAGGAATGCTGTACTGATACGAATGACTGGTAGGCCACTGCGAGTAATTGTAAAGGCCAGATATACCCCGAGAACTTTAGCATTTCATTCGTTCGTAACTAAATAAATGGGAGGATTTATTGGGAACCTCTAGTTGCCGACTCTCTTGTCTTGTTGATTTTTGATGCCACTATGTTCGCTAACCGATTTGACTTTCTTCTTGCGTGTGAAATACTTCCGAGGACAACTCGGTGTACTTTTCGTGCCTTTAGCTTCCATCACTTTGAGGTTAGTTATTGAATGTTTGAATGGTTACTTATTTACTTAGTTAGCCGCAGCCAGAGTGTTCATCAGAATTAATTTTGCAAGGTCTGCCTTAGGAAATTAAGATGAACGTCATTCTTTATGATCGCCATCAGTATCATATTTTATTACTTACTAACAAGCGCCATAAAACGCGGCAATTATTAGTAGCATCAGTTAGCGTTAGACTGCTCTAACGGTAAAAATTAACCAATTCAAGTCGCGGCAACTCAAAGAAACATAAAAGACCTTGCGATTAGTAAAGGGTAGTTCCACCTTGTTAGCTTTTCATCTAGAAATTTGTTCGACTAATAAGTACTAAGTTAGCCTTTGCAATAGAGGCAGACAGTGGCTATATCAGTGCTCATTTCTTAGATGTGATCCTGATACCACCTCATAAATGTGGGCTGACAGGGGGATCTATCTTACCTGGGAACAGAGCAAGCCAGAAACCATGTAGGCACATATTGTGCTTTCTTACGATGAGTTGCAGCACTTTTAGTGGTTCTCAGATTATAAAGCTTTCAAACTCTCGAGTTATGCACATCTGGCCTCTAGAATGACTCGCGAAGGTTCAGCAATGTCATAAGTCAGTGCTGGTGATCTCCTAGACAAGTCTGGTACTAACTCACTGAGCACGGAAGATGGAAGGCTTGATGTGCTATGGGCAAAGGCGAGTCATCGACCACGTGCGCATCGCAGACACCTCTTACATCTGCGCAACACATGCCATTTTCAACTCGTCAGGAACTCAAAATGCGTCACGAACCTCATTCGTGCTCCATCTTGAGTCTACTACAAATAACTTGATTTGTTTAAAAAGTAATGTGAAGCTTTCAGTTTTAGGAAACAATATCCCCTATATCATTACATATTCATCCATCATGGATTCGCTTCCCTTCGATACAATGCTTATCAATGATGAGCCTCGTAAGATGGCATCCAGAGCTCGTGCAGGTTCTCATGGTAGAGGACGCGGTGGTCCGTGGTAGAGGTATGGGTGGACCGCGCGGACGTGGTGGACCTGCGGACGAGGTCACTAATTTCTGGTGAGTTTTAGCACAGAATCTACCCTTTTGATCAACATCTATTAATGAGCAAATTATCAAAGCCATCTCACTGATAGTGGCTGGAGTTGAGATATGTTGTTTGAGAATGTTTATACCTATTGTCACGGTATTGGGGGAAAGATTGGCAGACATTTTAGAAAACAATGGTGTTTTTGAAATTGATGTGTTCTAGCTTAGAAAGCGGTGGCAAAACAGGCGCTGGTAGTGCAATTAGTTAAGTCTTTCGGGACCAGCAGTTGTAATAGTCACAGGCAGTGCAAATAGCCGATTTTTGGTATTTGATTAGGGTTTTTTCATTGTTATAGATAAAAGTCTGAGGTTTCTAGTAAAGTGCGATAGTTTAAGGTTTTCTCTACTCACTCGTATACTTTTAGTACAAATATAGCGTTTACGTTTAAGAAGAAAAGCTCTCTTTTACTACAAAATCATAATGATGTTGGCATTCTGTCAGTCGTAATAAAATGTACAATGAATGTAACGATAGAAATCGATCAGTTTTGATATATTTTAATATGAACAGCACTTAAGAGCTATAAAAGTGACTTTGGAAAACAATGAACAGCATGCCAAAAGAAGCTGTTGCACAATTCATACGATGTCATGTCATCGATAATTCTTACCTCAACCAAATTTTTATAGCAGGGATAGATGCGCTGTAGCGTGAAAAGAGCGATGTGTAAAATTGGCGTCAGCAGTGTAACGGATAGAGCACGCATTCCCGGAAAGAGTGAGGTGCGAGTTCTAGTCCCGCCTGACGCCAAAGTTGTGCACATCGCTCTACATCAAGGGGTATTTCATTTAGCTATCGAATGGTTATTTAAAGTCTAACGAGAAGTTAATAGTTGACGAGAAGTACCATGAGCATGAGCAATGAGTGGCACACGCAGTCCCAAAAGGGTTAAGCACGTGCCCGCGGGAGGAGTGAAATGTGGATTCGAGTTTTGCCTGACGCGAAAGTTTTGCACATCATTCAGCATCGATAGATATATCTATTTAAATTAAGCCACAGCTAAACCGGTAAAAGCGGTTTGAATAGAAAAAATTCTGTTTGCTCACTGTAGATTGTTTCTGTACCCCGTTAATGAAAATGTATTGGAATTCGACATCCAAGAACATGATGTGCAGGAATATGATGTGCAAAATTGTTGTCAATTAATAAAACGTATTGTGAAAAAGTTTTATCGCTACAGGTTTTCGCACAATGAGCTGTTGGAATCTTGAAGAGCTGTGGAGTCTGATCTTCTGTGTTTTCATTATCTCTTATTCTCTCTGTCTTTAGCATCATTGAATCCTCACGTTGTTTCCTGTTTTACGAATTGTTCATTCTTTTATTCCTAATCAATTGTCATGTACTGATGTGACGAATCTGAGGAAATGTTTCTTGCCAAACCAACCTTCGTGGTAGCTGTTTTAAAAAGTCCGATGTAAAAAAAAGATCGCCATTTTCGATTAGTCAGTATTTGTTTTGAAATTCCGATACACAGTCTTGACAACGACATGTTCTCAAGACTCCAATATAGGGATAATTGGCCATAATTTACACTGACATCGTGTCACTATGAAGGGTGGGAGGTCTGATATGTCCTCCTTCTCTTTCGTTTGGAGGTTCTCAGATTGGAGTTCAGAGCTGAAGGGTGTACGGTGATCATTTGAGACACAATTATGCAGTGGAGTCGCATATTCGTCGAGATTTGAGAGCAAAGCATGCCGCACATTACAGAGTATCCGTCAAGTGGAACCTTAACCATTCCTATATCGACGTGGGCCCGTGTGGCGCAGTGATTAAAGGTGTCCTGCTGAATACACATCTGAGGTCGATTCCATGCTTAAAGCTTCCCGAGTTTCTCATCCATCCATGGTCACGGAATAGACACTAGAGTTGTCCAGGAGGATAGCAGCATAGATCTGATTCAGTGGTAGGCCACAACAAGCCACTGTAAAGTCCAGATATGCACTCCGCCTGATATGGCATCTTATCGTTTGCTCATGCAACAACGCGCCTACTGTTAGACGCGGCAGCCAGCAGTGTTAGGCGCAACAGCTTGCCTATTAGGCGCAGCATGCTGGACGTCACAGAGGCGGGGAGGTGGAGCAGATCGTTCAAAGTTGCCAGTGAGAGAAGCAGAGGCCATGGAGCCTCGGCCTCGGAAGAGTTAAGAAGTTAACAAACTTCTGAATGCTTTCTAACCGACTCGCTTGAAGGCAAAATTGCTTTTGCTCCAATCCAAAGTCTTCGAGATACTGTGTTCATCTCAGTTTTCAAGTTGAAGAAGGTTGAATGTAAGTCCTGTGCATCACTTTTGAAAAAAAGTGCGACAATCGTCAAATTTAGAAAAGAGATTAAAATCGAGTACACTTTCATGTCCTATGAGCGAGTTCCTATTAGTTCGCTCGCGTACTTTTCAAAAACGCAGCACATAGTGTAAGAAAAGAAAAGGAGAAGACAAATTGGGCCATTTGCTCAGCAATTTATTGAGGGCGATAATATTGTGGTTTCGTGAGTTCTAGCGTTAGATCAACAAGTCAAAAAACACCAATATCTTTAATCAGAAGTAAATTAAATTGCGTGATTTTGGTGATGTTTAATTGTGCATTTTTTTGCCAACCTTTTTGCTACACGACGTGTCTATACTTGCTCAGGGATGGAGATTTCCCGGGGACAAAGTACCTTCTTACTAATGCACTAATGGCGTGAAGGACAAGAGTCAGTGAAGCGGCACGCAAGATTAACGGAGCTTGGAGAGATGATACGGAAACGGAAAGCTAGAAAGTGGTTTGCGAAGTTCAAAGTTGGAGAAAACAGTCGGGAGCAAGTCGTGCTTGAGCGGTGCATGGGAAGCCCCATTCATCTTACGTGCCACTTCACTAGCATTTTCCCTATGCGCCATTCGTGCATAGCAGCAAGCTAACCATTTCAACGGCATCACCATCTCGGAGCAAGTATAGGCAAGTTGTATATTGAAATGTTAGCAGGAAACAATCCGAGTTCATTTTATTTGACCTCGCATTGCGGTGATGGACGTTACAAAAACCCAATGTTGTAGAGTGGTGTGCATAAACGTTTGCGTTAGCAGGGATTCAAACCCAGATCTCGCTCTTTTCGGAAGCGTGTGCTGAACCGTTACACCACCGAGGCTCATTTTGCGTAAGTGGATTCAATGTCGATAAGTGACTGCCCGCGCCAGACCGTAGATGGTTGGCTGTTGACAGATGGTGCGTTGTAGCGTAGAAAAAGGGGTTATGCAAAGCGAGCGTCGGTAAGTGCAACGGTTCAGCACCCTCTTTCGGAAAGAGTGAAATTTGAGTTCGAATCCCGGCTGACGCAAACGTTTCTGCACACCACTCTGCAATTTCAAGTTAGCAAGAAAATGCACAGTTAAACGATATCAAAAGTGTACATTTTAAATCACTTCTTGTTGATGATAAATGTGGTGTTTTTTGATGTAGTGCTAAAATTTATAGAACGATCCAATCTCCAGGGGCGGCCATAAAATCGATGCGCGCATAGCGAATTGAGCGACTTTCGGGCGTTTCATCAAGGCCTTGTTTCTTCGTTTTGAAAATTACCGAGTTCTTGTGTTATTTTCATAGAGTGAGATTTTCTCTGTTCGCTTATATGCTGTAGGTCTAGATAAGCGTTTTTTATAGAGAAAAACGCTGGTTTACTGCGAAATCATATTGAATTTGGCAATAAATTAATTGCATGAAATGTACAAAGGCTATCACAATAAAATTTCCCCTTTTAACTTCCTCTGTTTTTTACAAGACCCAAAAGTATCATTGTGAGTAGAAAAATGAAAAGCAATTAGTAAATTGTGAGAATTGATGATCCATGCATATTCGATACGAGTTCATCGACAACTCTAACTTTGGCCAAGCTCATATCAGTCATTCGTTTACTTCCAATCATTTAGAATTGGTAGTTTTTGAACGATTTGATCTGATAAGGAGATAACATAATTTGACCCGATAGGTCTAAGCTATATAGGCGCCTATTTCATCCTATTGAAACTTATCGGTAGCACCCACCCTATAAGCTGTAACGTTAAACTAAAATTTTATTTCACACTCAAGCATTCTTTGCTGAGCAGAGAGCTTTTCATTAGGAAATTTAGCAATTTTTCGAGAACACAAATTTTGACAATTTTAATGGTGTTTCTGGTTTTCCTAACAGAATTTTTTGATGCGCTGCAACACTGAAATCATGATTGCATCTCACGTACGGCACGCATATCTTGCTTCGGTATGTGGATGAGTTTCGCATCATTGGCACCAAGACATCGCCTTCAATAACTCATCGATAGCATAAATCTCGAGTATTTGAATGATGAGCATGCTTTTCGAAAGGAAATCTCTTAGCGCTCTGTAGCAGTAAAATAAGCAGCCTGCCAAGCTGCTAGCTGCCGAGCAATTATCGAAAGACGACGGCTAAATGCCAATGTTGCGAAATCGATTCACATATCGGTGGAAGGCATGCGTGGCGCATGTGAAATGCAATCTTGTTTTCAGTGCTGAAGGGTAATAAAAAAATTTTCTCATAAAAACAAAAAGCCATTAAACTTGTCCGTATTTGTGCTAGTGAATGGTTACTCAATATTCTGCTGAAAAGCTTTGCTCGTCGAAAAATGCAAAAGCATAAGATCCTTTTTGATGTTACAGCATAATATGAAGGACTTTCAAGGTATTCTTTTTCAAAGTCCGAGATTTAGGTCATTGAATGAGTACCAAGATATCTGTAAAGAACAAAAATTACGTTTTTTCGAATATAGGTGCTAATAAGAGAGTACTGTATTCTCTGCAATGTTGAACGCGCTCTTTTCTTACGCTTAGTCCAGCTACATGCTACATTTGCTTCCACAAAGACCTATATTAGAGGTGTTAAGTTGCAGAAGATATGCTTTCTAGCTGCTGCCCTCGCTAGACGGGCAGTACAAATGCACAATAATGGTTGAAAGTTTGTTCATTTTTTTCTCAAGAAGTGGTATTACCGCTAAAAAATGAAGGATTCCAAAACAAATGGTTGCTTCTTATATAAAAAAAAATTACAAAAGTTTAAATCATGATATTCCATCCTTTGTATAATGATAAGGTACCTCTGACGCATAACTTTACTTCTAGTTGCCATAAACCAGCTATGACATATGAGAGGCAGGGTAATATTTGAGGCCTGAGATACAATTTCTTTTCACCTTGCAGCGTATTAAGATAACCTATTAAAGAAATCAGTTACATCCTCAAACTCGTCAATGTCGACTATCTAGTGAGGAGTGAAACTTTATAAAGAGTCGTATGGAAGCCCCAGCCGTGCAAATAAAGCAAATTGATTGTGAAACATAATTTTATTTTTCGTGCGCTACAACTTAGCAAAAAGTCTCCTTCAAAAATCAAGCACATTTTTGGAATTGCAAAAATTTGAGCTTTTGAATGATTACTGAGTGTCTAAGAGAAATTTTTTCCAGCTAGAAAGGCCTCTAATAATAGTGTACCTCATTAGGTACACATAGTCACTTAGGGGTTAATGATCGCATTCATTTTGAGAAGGATTCGGCAATATAGAGTAGTTTAACTTTTGCTATGTATTTATTTCTACTATTATCCTTTGGGGTTATGAAATTGGTTTCTGCAATTTTCTGAGATCACAATGAATCACTGCAGCAAGTTTTCAATATTTAAGACATAGCAACGACGAGTGGGAAACTTACGCCGAGAACAAGCGGCACGCGTGGAAGCTAATCAGGCTCAGTCTATTCTCACACTATTTCGACTGACAGCAGTTTGTGTGCTTCTCTTTCTCATGCATAGAATCAACTATTGATGATTCTTCGTTCGAGGGTCAACCGGTCTTGTGTGACACAACAAAGGAAAATGAACCACACTCAGACCAGACTGTAGTCTTAAAAGAAAGTCTCTAGTTCAGTTTTGAAGAAAAGGAAGTACCGACCTTGAACAAGTTTTGAATAAAGAAGAGGACACAATAGTGTTTTCTTATTTCAGTGCTACTGCGCGCTCATTGATGTTTGCGAAAACTAGGACCAAGGACCATTTGTACTATGTTAAGCGTGAAACCGGCAAAAGATCGCAAAGTGACGGAAGCACCTGATAATGCAGCAGTTATTTTTCCTAATATGAAACAGTGTTTAGTCCTTGAAGCCTGATTTTCCAGACGAAGTTTTGAATTTATCAAAACTGAAGGTTTTAGGAGATAGCATTCTTAAAACAAAGTGAGCCTTTTCTAGCCAGCAAATATATTAATTTTGGTAGTATCACAAAAATGTGGCGCTCAGTGGTTAGACGTGGTATCACAAAAATATGGCGCAGTGGTAAGAGGTGCCCTGCGTGGCACACTAGGTCCATGGGTTCGATCTCGCGCTCATGGCTCACCAAGCCATCCATCCCTCCGGTGTCCGGTAAATTAGTACCAGAAAGGTCTCAGACTTGTCTGGGAGGATAAACAGCACTGACTCGGTTAAGCGGGAGGCCACCGGGCGAGTCATTGTAAAGGCCAGATATGCATTCAATCACTTCAAAACGAACTTAGAATTGAAAGGCGAATGCATGGCGCATCCCTCAGGGATTGATCGCGCAGAGCACTACCTTATCCTTCATCAAAAAAATGCC